AACGCAATAATGTGTTTTACATATAAAATAAGTTTTAAATGTAGTTTAAATCATAAGTGCTTCCTAAATTCGTAATAATATATTTAGAGTTTGTTGTTATTTTTATTTCTGCTCGTAATAAAGTATTTGAATCCTGTTTGTAATAAGACATTCAAAATTCGATTTCCATAGATTCGATCATTCATTGACCAGAATAAGTTATCGTTGTTCATCATCGCCATGACGGTGCTTGGTTTTGCAACTGGTTTATCTTTACGTCAGTATAACTTAAAGCAACAAACAGTTGAACTAATTGGATTTCCTGGAAAACTCGTGGTTCGAGCTTTCATACTTTTAACTGTTCCCCTCATCGTGTGTAACGTGATATTGGGTAAGTGTTTTAATTTATAGATAACCTTAAATATAGCTTAGCTCAAACTGGAAGCAAGACTGTAGCTGAAAGGTATAAATAGCTGATTAAAACCTGGGATAATTCTGTGTATATTAGACACATAAAAGACACCTCAAATTAGCAAGTACAAGAAATTCTATACTCACGTTAGGATATTTTGGAATCGCTCCCCACCACCTCCCCCAGTGGCACAGCGATAACTTTACGGATTTATAACCGGGTTTCGATACCTGTTGTGGGCACAGCACAGATAGCCCATTGTGTATTATGTAGCTTTATGCTTAACTACTAAAACAAATATTTTGAAGTCAGGGATCTGATGTAATTATAGTGACTCAATCGAAACAAAATTGAAATTGAATAAAATAAAACTTAGAATTTAAGCCAAGTAAGTATTAGAAGAACGTGTTACGTGTCTTTCTTTCGTTTTTTAGTTACTTGTTTATGAAAGTTTTAAAAGCAGCAATTTATCTGAAGTGTTTGGAATAATGAATTGTTATATTTCACCACACGCCTATGACACAAATCTTCATTTCAACCATTTGTTGTAAATTCACTATAGTGGAAAACATCAATCAAGCATAAAACAACGATTTGCCTCTGGATCTATTTATTCGTGATTTTCCTGCTCGGCTACTTGATCACGTGTTCCAGTTTTTGTAACGAAATTAACCTAAGAGTATTTTCTGGAAAATTACTTTCAATTTGCCAAAGTTCATTTGGTGCCATGATAATGAATTTCCGAGAAACTTTGTTTTGTATTTCATATTTCATTCTATTTCACAGACTTCCAGCCGGAATAACAATTACCTACATGTTTTGTTTAAAACTATTTTGATAAGCAGTTCGTAATGTGAAAACTTTCAAAGAAATATAATTGGAGAAATTCACAATACTTAACCATTTTCTATACCTATATTTCCTAAGCAATATCAGCCTTCAATCAGCATACATATTTATTACGTAGCGTCAGCCATCTAATGGTCATCCATGATCTCTGTGTAATATTATCTACTCAATCGTCTTGTTATTTTCAGAATCACACCCATTCAGACATAAGGCATTGTTTCTCTGTAACATCAGTCCGCAATTACCATTCATGATTTCTGTGTAACTACATATGACCAGTCATTATTGAAATTCCAAATTTACCATCTAAAATTAGTCATTCACAACAGAGCCAAACAATAGTAAGCTTCAAAACGTTTGATACTATCTAAAGCTATATTATATGTATGTGTTCTATATTTGCTATGAAAAGTGTTTTTTGATGAGTTTTAAAAAAATGTTCCCGAGATATTGATAAAGCAACACATTCATGTGGAAATGCGTAATATTAGAAAATACAAGAACTATGCAAATAAAACAGTTGGAATAAATTGTCTCAAATGGACTAATGCTGTTGAATTTATCTCTTACGTAACACAACTATTTCTGGATGTTATTTCAAAGTCCGGAGTTAAGATTAAACGCATCGTTACTTGAAAAAATAACAAAGTGAAACTCCATTAAGACACATTTTTCAAGATTTGAAAACAACAACGAAAAGTGATTTTTTTTTATTTCAGGAATATCTTCATTTAGTAAAATGGACAAAGTTGGTCGCTTGGTGATGATTACAGTTTGTTTCTTTCTTGGCCTGGCGCTCTTCTGCTCAGTGTTAGGTACAGCTTTGGCATATTTTATTCAGCCTGGAAAACTGATTGGCAAAATGGAAGTAGAGGCCTCTTTTCACTGTCCACCAATTAATGAAAACCAGATACTGGATTCTCTGTTGGATATTTTCAGGTAATAGGTATAATTGGGTCAACTATATGCAAGTTCTCTTTAAAGTTTTTCTGTTATTCTAAGATCAAATATATCTTTGAATTTTCACTTTACGGTTTTGGCATTACATCTCACTGTTTCTTATTTTATTTTCAGGAATGCTGTACCGGATAATGCGATCCAAGCTACTTTCAAGCGTGTAAGGAATCTTGATTATACTACTATTTTATTTAATATCGAATATTCATTATTGGTGTTTGTCATAATATAAAATACTGTTTGGTTTAAATATTAGTGATTAATTTATATTTGTGAATGAATATTTTTAAGTTTTGTTATAATAAGAGTTAAAAGCAGACGATTGTAAAAGATTTGTTAATAACTATTTCGTGTTGAGAATATAGAAAGTAGCCAGACGATTATGTAATAAAGATATAAATAGCATTAAACGAGCAGGAAGTAGCAGACAGACAATATTAGACAGATAAAAGCAAAGAGAATATAGTTGGTGTGAAGTTAAGTACCACAAAGGTGATAGGCCTAACATTTAATATGTTAGAGTGAAACTAACAGTATAAAAAAAAAAGATAAGAAGGATAATTCTATTCCGTCAAAGTGTGGTTCTAAAGCAATTGAATCAGCCTGGGTACACTTTGACAAAAGGAACAGAGGATCTTCAGAAGAAAGAAGACCAAACGAATTACGGTAACTTGCGCCACAACTGTAAGTGAATCACACATAGAATATTAATACGATAGTAATATAGAGAAGATAGTTCGACTTGTCAACTAAAATTCTAAAGTAATTGAATAAGCCTAAGTGGACTATTGACAAGAAGAATATAGAGCTATAGTGTTTATGATATGCCTGTAATTTCTATAGTCTGAAGACTTTGTTGTACATACGTTAACTTGTTCTGAATATATATATATTATTTAAAAACAAGTAAAGTGTGTGCTGTTTATTCGTCTTTGAATTTATCGCTAACAAGTCACAAACACTTACTGTAGAAGAATCCTAAGCCCAACAACAACATAGTATATATTTATACTATTAAGAAATATAAGTAAAAGGCATTTATTTCGACAATTGGCAAAAGAAGAACTTATATATATATATATTATTTGTAAATTCTGACAGTGTTTCTCTATCACTGGAACTTAGAAATTCATTAATCTATTACTTTCATCGACAAAAAAAGATACAAGAAAAAGTTAAATAATTCAGCAATAATATCTGTATAATTCGTGATCATTTTTTCTATTTCTTTTAGGATTAAATTCCGCATTTTCAAAAAAATTAATAAAATATTATTGACTTGAAAACATCTCTTCTCCTAAAAGAGTTGGTTATAGATATGTTTGATACATGTAAAGCTACGTCATTATCAATTTATTTAATTATAACTCGCTTATTTTTATTAAATGTTTAGGTACAAAATTGTTTGTTTGTAATTTCGCGCAAAGCTACACGAGG